CAAAAAAAAAAAAAAAAAAAAAGAAAAGAAAAGAATATATAGGTGATCACAATAAGATGATTCACAAACAAGCATTTACTATTCAAAAAGACTCCAATCCATTGCAAATTAATGGAAAACCAATTCATAACTAGTTAAATAAAATCAAATAAGTATGGTTGCTTCTAAAAAATACACTAAAGAAGTATGAGATGAGCTGGTCACCAATGCGAGTCACTATTAGTCCATCAATTCAAAATTGGGGCTGAGCATGGTGGCTCACACCCTATAATCCCAATGCTTTGGGAGGCCAAACTGGGAGGACTACTTGAGGCCTGGAGTTCAAAACCAACCTGGGCAACATAGCAAGACCCTGTCACTACAAAATATTTAAATATTAGCCAGGTATGGTGGCACATGTCTGTTATCCTAGCTACTTGAGAGGCTGAGGTAGGAGGACAACTTGAGCCCAAGAGTTTAAGGTTGTAGTGAGTTAGGACCATGCCACTGCACTACAGCCTGGGTGACAGAGCAAGACCCTATCCCTGCAAAAATTGGATCAAATATTTTGACAATAAATTCAAAACTGATTTACCAAGGGAAAAAATAAAAAGCGAATTATAAATAATTTGACAGACAGTACACCCTCTATATCCAAGGGTTCTGCATCCAGGGATTCAAAGAATCTTGATGGAAAATATTTGGGAAAAAAAATTCAATTAAAAAAAATACACCAAGGCCGGGCGCGGTGGCTCAAGCCTGTAATCCCAGCACTTTGGGAGGCCGAGGCGGGTGGATCACGAGGTCAAGAGATCGAGACCATCCTGGTCAACATGGTGAAACCCCGTCTCTACTAAAAATACAAAAAATTAGCTGGGCATGGTGGCGCGTGCCTGTAATCCCAGCGACTCAGGAGGCTGGGGCAGGAGAATTGCCTGAACCCGGGAGGCGGAGGTTGCGGTGAGCCGAGATCGCGCCATTGCACTCCAGCCTGGGTAACAAGAGCGAAACTCCCTCTCAAAAAAAAAAAAAAAAATACACCAATAAAAAGTAATACAAATTTTAAGAAATACAGTGTAGGCTGGGCATGGTGGCTCATGCCTGTAATCCCAGCACTTCAGAAGGCTAAGATGGGTAGATCACTCAAGGCCAGGAATTCAAGATCATCCTGGCCAACATAGCAAAACCCTGTCTCTACTAAAAATGCCAAAAATTACCTGGGTATGGTGGCGCATGCCTGTAATCCCAGCTACTCAGGAGGCTGAGGCATGAGAATCGCTTAAACTTGGGAGGCAGAGGTTACAGTGAGCCAAGATGGCGCTACTGAACTTCAGGCTGGGCAACACAGCGAGGCCTGCCTATAATCCTAGCTACTCAGGAAGCTGAGGCAGGAGAATCACTCGAGCCCGGGAGGTGGAGGTTGCAGTGAGCTGAGATCGTATCACTGCACACCAGCCTGGGTGACAGAGTGAGACTCCCTCTCAAAAATAAGAAAGAAATACAGTGTAAAAACTATTTAAATCTTATTTACATTGTATTAGGTATTATAAGCAATCCAGAGATAATTTAAAGTATACAGGAGGATGTGTGTAAGGTTATATGCAAACATGATGCCATTTTACATAGAGAACTTAAGCATTTGTGGATATTCATGTGGGGCCCTGGGGCCAATCTCCTATGGATAGTGAGGGACGACTATATTATCTCCATATTCTCCTTTAATCAAGACTTTTCATTACTAATGCCATCTCCTTGGCAAAAAGAATATCCCTTTTTCCATTTTTACTATTAATTACTCTATTCCTGTCTGCCCTTATTGCTAGCTATTCTCTTCCCTTCTTTTTCCTTGTATAGCTGACTACAAACACAAATACTGGAAGGATGGTTAATCCATTACCAACACTGAACACAGAAAGTGTTCAATTATTTATTGATGAAGATGTCAAAAGTCTCTTATTCTATTCCCCTTCCTTTCCTTCCTCTCTCCCTCCCTTCAGCCCTAACCTTTTTTTTTTTTTTTTTTCCTTTCTTCTTTCTTTCCTGCTCTTTTCTCTCTTTTGCAATAAGGTCTGTTACCCAGGCTGAAGTGGAATGTCACAATCATAGCTCACTGCAGCTTCAAACGCCTAGGCTCAAGCGGTCCTCCAGCCTCAGCCTCCTGAGTAGCTAGGACTATGGGTGTATGCCACCAGACCCAGCTTTTTTGTAGACAAAATCTTGCTACATTGCCCAGGCTAGTCTTGAACTCTTGGCCTCAAGTGATCTTCCTGCCTCCCAAAGTGCTGGGATTATAGGCGTGAGCCACAGCACCTGGCTTTTTATTATATTCCTTATTGATTTTTTTTTTTTTTTTTTTTGAGACAGGATCTAGTTTTGTTGCCCAGGCTGGAGTGTAGTGGTGCAATCCCGGCTCACTGCAACCTCTGCCTCCTGGGCTCAAGTGATCCTCCCACCTCAGCCACTCAAGTAGCTAGGACCATAGGTGCATGCCACCATGCTTGGCTAATTTTTGCATTTTTTTTTTTTTTTTTAATAGAGACTAGGTTTCACCATGTTGGCCAGGCTTATTTTTCTTTCTTTCTTTTTTTTTTTTTTTTATATTTTTTATAGAGAGAGGGTTTTGCCATGTTGCCCAGGCTGGTCTCAAACTAATGGGCTCAAATGATCCACATGCTTCAGCCTCCCAAAGTGCTAGGATTACAGGTATGAGTCACCATGCCCAGCTCTTACTGAGTTTTTCTAAGGAGGTATCATAACGATTAAAAAAGAAAAAATCAAAGTGGACCCACTAAACGTTTGGCTTACCTGTGGATCTCGGTAGTCTTCCACACTTGAATCATCATCAGAATAGCTTTCAGTATACCTCAGTAAAAAGAGGGAAAAATGTTTTAAAGAATTTTTCTCTCACATCCTAAAAAAATTACTACCCCCAACAGGTAAATATATTCAGGCAAAATATTATAGTGGTTAAGAGTCCGAACTCTGGAATCAGAGAAATTAGGATTCAAAATCCAACTTAACCAGTTATTACTTAACCTCTCTAAGTGTCAGCTTTCTTATCTATAAAACAGAGATAATAAGTAATGTCTATCTCCCAAGGTTATTAAAGGATTAAATAAACACTTGCAAACTCCTTATGCATTTACAATATATAATAAATGCACAATAAATTATAGTTATTTTTATCCTAGCAATAAATAAAAGTGAGATACCAACTCCCTCAGGCCCAAGGGTCTCATTTAGGAACATCAGATTCAGATAGAGGGAATATTTCAGCAACTCATAATTAAGCACTCTGAGTAACAAATTCACAAAGTCAACATGACCAAACCATGTAACTAAATACAACTTCTCCAAGACTGTTCATGAGGGATGAAGGAGCAAATAAATCTCCTGTATCAAAAAAGAGCTATAAATCCTAAAAAACTACAAGCTGAGAATGTGGTCTTGATTCATTATAACTGAAAGTTGTTACCTAATAGCTTCAAGTAATTTCAGGACTCTGCTAGTATTTAATACTTCTTTAGAAATTATTTAAATAAGAAAGGCACTTTTTATTTTTTAAGTAAAAAGCTTTATACGAATGCAAGGAAATGCTATTATAATTAAGATATTAAGATACTAATCTTAGCCTGAGCAACCAAGGGAGACCCTGTCTCTACAGAAAAATTTAAAATTAGCTGGGCATGCTGGTGCACACCTGCAGTCCCAGCAACTTGGAAGGCTGAGGTGGGAGGATTGCTTGGGCCTGGGATATCAAGACTGCAGTGAGCCACAATTGTGCCACTGCACTGAAGCCTGGGTGACACAGTGAGACCCTGTCTAAAAAAAAAAGCAAATTCTTTATTCATTAAAATGTATCAATATTACTTAGGGGCATTTCTAATCAATGTTAATAAGTTATATTATTCAACTATTTGAAAAAAAAATAGTTTGCCTTATAATTTATGACAATACAAAAAAAAAAAAAAATCCAAGTGGATTAAAGAGTTAAATACCAGAAAGAAATAGGAAAAAAGTGTAAGTAATCACTTTACACACTCTTGTGAGAGATCTTAAGCATATTAACATAAACTAACAGGAAAAAGACTAATAGAATTGACTACATAAAAATGCAAAACTTCTCTAATCAAAAGACAGTATAAACAAAAATTAAAAGGGAAGTGGCAAAATGGGGAAAGCAGTTGTAATACATATAAAAAGAGGTAATATTTTATGCAAAGCCCTCCAACAACTAATGAGGAAAATTCAAATACCTCTCAAATGAAATAGAAAAAACCCATAAGCAAGCAATTCACAAAACAAGTATGAAATAACAAAAAACTAATCTCAATAATTATAAGATTACAAATAAAAATATAATCAAGGTTGGGTGCAGTGGCTCACACCTATAATCCCAGCACTTTGGGAGGCCGAGAGGGGCGGATCACGAGGTCAGGAGTTCAAGACCAGCCTGCCGAACATGGTGAAACCCTGTCTCTACTAAAAATACAAAAATTAGCCAGGAGTGGTGGTGGGTGCCTGTAATCCCAACTACTCAGGAGGCTGAGGCAGAAGAATTGTTTGAACCCGGGAGGCAGAGGTTGCAGTGAGCCGAGATCGCACCACTGGACTCCAGCCTGGGTGACAGAGTGAGACTTTGTCTCAAAATAAAAAAAAGATCAATATTTTGCCTATAAAACCAGCAAAGATTAAATAATAGTATAACTAAGATTGCAGGGATGCAAAGGAAACTTCTCTTTATACAAAGTTATTGGAAGTATAAACTCAGGCCACCTTTTTAGGAAGCCAAGCCCAAATGCAGTAGAAATCTCAAAAATATCAATCTTTGACCCCAGAAATTCCACCTCAAAAATTCAACATAGAAAAATGTAATGTGTACAAAGATATATGCAGTAAAGAGTTATATATTTTTATTTACTTTTTTTATTTTTTTGAGACAGAGTCTCACTCTGTCCTCTAGGATGGAGTGCAGAGGTGTGATCTCAGTTCACTGCAACCTCCAGCTCCGAAGTTCAAGCAATTCCCTTCCTGCCTCAGCCTCCCAAGTAGCCTGAATTACAGGCACATGCTACCACACCCTGCTAATTTTTGTAATTTTAGTAGAGACAGGGTTTCACCATCTTGGCCAAGCTGGTCTTAAACTCCTGACCTCATGATCCATCCGCCTCAGCCTCCCAAAGTGCCAAGAGGTATCATGACCAGTCAAGAGTTATTTATTATATAATAGTGTAATACAAATATCCATGAAAATGGAACTCGTTAAGAACATTATGATAAATCTAAATGAAAAAGACTGAGTTACAAATAGTAAAATAGGGCTATCATCCCAAATCCTGTAGACATTAAAAGGATAACAAGAAAATATTGCAGAAGCATTATGCCAACAAATACCACACCTGAGAGAAAATAAACAGATGATTAAAAAATACAATGTACCACAACTGACATAAGAAGAGATGTAAGGAAGAGTTGTATATCCAGCAAAACTAAAATTTATGAAAATCCTTCAGAAAAAGAAGACTCTGGGGGAAGTTGATTCTAGTCCTGGATGAATTGTGGGCGAACACTAACATATTCAAAAAAGAATTTCCATAATTCGTTTTCATAAAATAAAGAAAAACAAACACTTTCCCACTAATACCATGAGGCTGGTGAATCCCTAACAACAAAACCTGACAGACATTACAAAAATAAACAAAAGAAAATTCAGACCAATATGACACACAGATGCAAACATCGGTAGAAAAAGATTAATAAATTAAATCCAATTAATACCCTTTTTTTCAAAAGTTAGCTGGGCATGGTGGCAGGTGCCTGTAATCCCAGCTACTCAGGAGGCTGGGGCAGGAGAATTGCTTAAACCCAGAGGCAGTGGTTGCAGTGAGTTGGGCTCGTGCCATTGTACTCAAGCCTGGGTGACAAGAGCGAGACTCTATCTCTGTTACCCAGGCTGGAGTTCAGTGGCATAAACATAGCTCATTGTAACCTTCAACTCTGGGCTCAAGCAATCCTCCTACCTTAGCTTCCAAAAAAGCTGGGCTATAACCATGCACCACCATGCCTGGCTAATTTTTAAATTTTCTGTAGAGACAGAGTCTCACTATGTTGCCCAGGCTGCCAGTAATACATTAAAAATATAACATATCAGGACCAAGTAGAGTTTATCCCAGAAATGCAAAATTGGCTTAGTACTGGGAACCAGCATAATTCACCAAGTTAATAGACTAAAGGGGGAAGCCCATAATGAGATGTTTCAATAGATGCAGAAAAGCACTTAATAAATGCAATACCTATTCATGACAAAAATTCTCAGCTATCTAGGAATATTAGGAAACTTTCTCATTCTGACAAAGGACATCTACAAAAAAACCTAAAGCTAATGTCATATTTATAGTGAAATATTACCGAAAATTAAAGACTGACCATACCAAATATTGGCAATATGTGGAAAAAAAGTAGAGTTCTCATAAACTGCTAATGTAAGAAAGCAAAATGGTACAAACACATTGGAAAAAAGCGGAATTTCTTAAAGTTAAATATGCATCTATCACATGACACTGCTATTCCAATCTTAGATAGTTAACAAGGGAAATGAAAATACTGTCCACACAAAGACCTGGACATAAATGTTCATAGTAGCTTAATTTGTAATAGTCAGAAACTGGAAACAAACCAATTGCCCAGTGAGAGATAAACAGATAGGCCAGGCAAGGTGGTTCACACCAGTAATCCCAGCACTCTGGGAGTCCTAGGCAAGAGGACTGCTTAACCCCGGGGATACAACACTAGCCTGGCAACATAGTGAGACCCCCATTTTTACAAAAAATTAGAAAATTAACTGGGCATGGTAGCAGGCACCTGTAGTCCCAGGTACTAGGCAGGTGAGGTGGGAGAACTGCTTGAGCCCAGGAGGTAGAAGCTGCAGTGAGTCGTGATCATGCCACTCCACTACATTCTAGCCTGGGCAACAAAGTGAGACCCTGTCTCAAAAAAAAAAAAGCCCAAAACAGATAAACAGATTAAAATAATTGTGGCATGTCCATACACACTCATCAATAAAAAGCAAGCAATGAACTATTGATTCATACAACATTGATAAATCCCAAAATCATTATGCTAAGTGAAAGAATGAAAGAATCCAGATTTTAAAAGTATGATTCCAAGTAAAATTCTACAAGATGCAATGTAACGTACAGTGACAGAAAGCAAATCAATGGTTGCCTCAAGCTGGGCGCTGTGGCTCACATCTATAATCCCAACACTTTGGGAGGCTGAGGCAGGCAGACTGCTTGAGCCCAGGAGTTCGAGACCAACCTGAGCAACATGGCAAAACCCTGTTAATACAAAATATTGGGTAGGTGTGGTAGCATGTGTCTGCTGCTCCCTGGGAGGCTGAAGTAGAAGAATCAAGTAACCTGGTAAGTTAAGGCTGCAGTGAGCTGTGATGGCACTCCAGCCTGCGCTCCAGTTGGGTGACGGAGTAAAACCTTGTCTCAAAAAAAAAAAGGTTACTTAGAAACAAGAGTGGAGGGAAAAATGAATTGCAAAGGGGAACAAGAAGACTTTTGATATTTATGGAAAGGTTCAGTATCTTGTTTATCGTGATGGTTCAATAAGACATGAGCACAGTGGCTTACATCTGTAATTCCAGCACTTTGGGAGGCGGAAGCGGGGGAATCACCTGAGGTCGGGAGTTTGAGACCAGCCTGACCAACATGGAGAAACCCTGTCTCTACTAAAAATACAAAAATTAGCTGGGTGTGGTGGCACCCACCTGTTGTCCCACCTACTAGGGAGGCTGAGGCAAGAGAATCACTTGAGCTTGGGAGGCAGACGTTGCGGTGAGCTGAGATTGCGCTACTGCACTCCAGCCTGGGCGACAGAGCAAGACTCTGTTTCAAGAAAAAAAAAAACCCTCAATACTATTTCTGAAACAAAATTAATTGGCACCTTTTTATATATCTGACGTTGTATTAGGGCAGAAAAAGAAGGTAATAAGACAATACTGTTGGTAATGCAAACAAGTAAGCAAATAATTTCAATGGCATATGATATGATAAGGATTATAACAAATATCTGTAACTAGAAGCTAAGGAAATGTTTTAAAAGGAGTCTTAGGTCTAATAAAGGCAGCAACATTTCAACCAATTATTGAGGGCTGAGTGGGAGTTTGTGAAAGGGAAATGATACTCTAACTCAACAAAATCACCCATACAAAGGTACAGTCAAAGAGAATTTGATCTCTTTGGGGAATAGAGAACATTCAGTATGGCTGAAGTAAAGGTCTGAAGAGGCTAGTTAAATATTACGCAGGGCTTTGTTGGCAATGCAGAGCCACTGAAAGTTTTACAAGAAGGAATGTAATGTGATAAAGTTCACTGTTTAAAAAAAAGTGCATTTTGTATACTTACTCATTATCCTCTTCACCATGTCTTGCTCTTTTTGCCAAATGTTCATCTTCTAATTCTGTTAAATTCTTAAGTTCCTTCTCACTACTAATTATGCTAAATACTGAAACAAAAAGAAAAAAAATGCTATGAGCTAAAACAATTATTTGTATAACTTTATTGATAATTGAGCTCTAACAATAAGACTCACCTTTTTCTACCTGAATCCTAAAAGCATTTCTTTTTCTTCGACCATAGTCTATACTGAAAAAAGAAAAGAAGTTTAGCATAGTAGTCTCCACCAATATTTTTCCATTAAGCTCAATCTAAATGGACCAAATTTGCATGAATATTTAATTATGTTACAGTATAGACACTTGCCAAAAACCCATTTTCAAACTTCTAAGTTTATGTATTTACTATTGTGAGCTTTCTCCATTTTTTCCCTTTTAACTAACCTTTTTTGCTTCAAATATTTTTAAAATTTCAAACTTTGAAAAAAAAATTTCAAACTTATTAAAAATATGAAAGAAATAATGTAGTCAACACTCATATATTCTTTACCTATAGTATTCTCAAACTGCCGTACTTACTTTACTTATCTCTGTGTAGAAATTTTTTTGGAGGGGTAGGGGAGAACCATTTGAAAATAAGTTCTAGGCCAGGTACAGTGGTTCATGTCCATAATCCCAGCACTTTGGGAGGCCAAGGTGGGAAGATCACTTGAGCCTAGGAGTTTCAGACCACCCTTGGCAACACAGGGAAACCCTATCCCTACAAAATATAAAAAAATTAGCTGGGCATGGTAGTAGGTGGCTGTAGTCCCAGCTCCTTGGGAAGTTGAGGTGGGAGGACAGCGTGAGTCTGGGAGGTGGAGGCTGCAGTGAGTGGTGATTGTGCCAATGCACTCAGCTTGGCCAACAGAGCAAGACCGTCTCAAAAATAATAATAATAAATTAAAAAACTAATAAGAAAACAAGTTACAAACACTTCATCTCAAAAATTCTCAGCATGTATCTCTATTAAAAAAAAAGGCTACCCGAATAGCTACAATACAATCAACACAAATAAGAAATTTAATATTGGTAAATTATCGGCCAGGCGCGGTGGCTCAAGCCTGTAATCCCAGCACTTTGGGAGGCCGAGGCAGGTGGATCACGAGGTCAAGAGATCGAGACCATCCTGGTCAACATGGTGAAACCCCGTCTCTACTAAAACTACAAAAAATTAGCTGGGTATGGTGGCGCGTGCCTGTAATCCCAGCGACTCAGGAGGCTGGAGCAGGAGAATTGCCTGAACCCGGGAGGTGGAGGTTGCGGTGAGCCGAGATCGCGCCATTGCACTCCAGCCTGGGTAACAAGAAACTCCATCTCAAAAAAAAAAAAAAAAAAAAAAAAAATTGGTAAATTATCTAATATATAGTTCGTATTAAAATTTCTCAAATTATTGCCGAAAAATGGTCTTTAGAGTTGCTTTTCTTTAACCCAGAGTCTAGTCAATGTTCATGCTTTTATTTGGTTGTTGTGCCTCCTTTGACTCTTTTAACTTGTAATAATCTCTTCACCTTTGTGGATGTAACACTGATATTTTTGAAGGATCCAGGCCAGCTAATTTATAAAATGTCCCACGATCTGAATTTATTTTCTGTCTCCTCATTATTAAATTCAAGTTAAACATTTTTAGCAAGACTACCTGCTAAAAATATAAGTGAAAGTTTGATGAGTTGGCTGGGTGCGGTGGCTCACACCTGTAATCCCAGCACTTTGGGAGGCTGAGCAGGGCGGATCACAAGGTCAAGAGATGGAGGCCATTTTGGCCAACATGGTGAAACCCTGTCTCTACTAAAAAATACAAAAATTAGCAGGGCGTGGTGGCACGTGCCTGTAGTCCCAGCTACTTGGGAGGCTGAGGTAGGAGAATCACTTGAACCTGGAAGGCAGAGGTTGCAGTGAGCCAAGATCTCACCACTGCACTCCAGCCTGGTGACAGAGCGAGACTCCGTCTCAAAAAAAAAAAAAAAAAGTTTGATGAGTTACAGAATATTTATATAATCTTAAAATATCTTCTTATAAATTATTAATTTCAAATTAATTTAGTGGATTGATCAAAACTAGCATTATGGAATAAATAACACCACAGATATTCTGTGTCTTTTGAAGTCACATTGCTTCTCTGGTGTTTCCTTCCAAAAACATACAACCTGATTCCAACCATGTGGAAACAGCAAAAAAAAAAAACCCAAATTGAGAAATATTTTGTATAGTAACTACCTATAGTCTTCAAAAATGTAAAGATTATGAAAAATAAAAAAAGGTTGAGGAACTGTTCCAGATTAAAGGAAACTAAAAAGCAAAACAAGCATAATTTAGGGGTTGGATTTCAGTTCAGGATAAAAAATTCCCACAAAACAATAGCTATAAAGAACATTATTGAGACAGGCAAACTCTGAATATGAATGGTGGATTCAGTAACATTATTGAATCAAGATTACATTTTCTGGTTTTAATAAATAAACTGTGGTTATATAATAAAAGCCTTTGTCCTTAGGGAATAGCTAGTATGCACAGTATGCATGGATAAAGGCACATTCTGAGTAAGGAATATATGGGTGTTCTTTGCACTATTCTTTCAATTTTCCTGTTTATAAAAATTCTTGCCAGTGTGGTGGCTCACACCTGTAATCCCAGTACTTTCAGAGGCCAAGGAGGGTGGATCAATTGAGGTCAGCAGTTTGAGACCAGCCTGGCCAACATGGTGAAACCCAGTCTCTACTAAAAATACAAAAATTAGCTGGGCATGGTGGTGGGCACCTGTAGTCCCAGGTACTTGGGAGGCTGAGGCAGGAGTACTGCTTGAGCACAGAGGCAGAGGATGCAGTGAGCAGACGTCGTGTCACTGCACTCCAGCCTAGGTGACAGAGTGAGACTCCGTCTCAAAAAATAAATAAATAAATAATAAATTTATTTTTGTTTTTGAGACAGGGTCTCATTCTGTCAGTCAGGCTGGAGTGTAGTTGTGTAATCAGAGCTCGCCGCAACCTCAACTTCCCAGTCTCAAGCAATCCTCAGCCTCCCGAGTAGCTAGGACAACAGACATGTGCCAGCATGCCTAGTTAATTTTTCAATTTTTTTTGTAGAGATGAGGGTCTCACTATGTTGTCCAGGCTGGTATGGAAATTACATAAAAACACAAAGTTTTAGATGTACTAAATCACGATCATTAAAAAAGACAACTTGGGGGCTAGCGCGGTGGCTCATGCCTGGAATCCTAGCACTTTGGGAGGCTGAGGGAGGAGAATTACTTAAGCTCAGGAGTTCAAGACCAGCCTGGGCAACATGGCAAAACCCCATCTCTACAAAAAATACAAAAAACTAGTGGGGCATGGTGGCACGTGCCTTAGTCCCAGCTATTTAGCGGCTGAGGTGAGAGAACCACTTGAACCCAGGGGGTTGAAGCTACAGTGAACGGAGATTGTGCCACTGTATTCCAGCCTGAGTGACAGAGTGAGACCATGTCTCAAAAAATAAAAACATAAAAATGCAGCCAGGCGCGGTGGCTCATGCCTGTAATCTCAGCATTTTGGGAGGCCGAGGCGGGTGGATCACCTGAGGTCAGGAGTTCGAGACCAGCCTGGCCAACATGGCGAAATCCCGTCTCTATTAAAAAAAAAATATATATATATACATATATATATATATATACACACACACACACACACAAATATAAAAATTCAAAATTAAATAAAGATGTAAAAATGATTTTAGTTCATGAGCCATACAAAACAAGGTGGTAGGCAAGAACTGGTTTGACGGCCATAGTTTGCCAACACCTGGATAAGGGAAGATGGCAGATAGATGTAGGAAGCATATCTAAAAGCTGAAACAGGCCAGGCGCAGTGGCTCATGCCTATAATCCCAGCACTATGGGAGGCTGAGGCGGGAGGATCACTTGAGGTCAGGAGTTCAAGACCAGCCTGGCCAACATGGCAAAACCCTGTCTCAACTAAAAATACAAAAATTAGCTGGGTGTGGTGGCGTGTGCCTATAGTTGTGGCTACTCAGGAGACTGAGGCAGGAGAGTCACTTGAACCCAGGAGGTAGAGGATGCAGTGAGCAGAGATTGCACTGCTGCACTCCAGCCTGGATGACAAAGTGAGACTCCATCTCAAAAAACAAACAAAAACAACATATATATAACATGTTCTACACATGTATCCCATAACTTAAAGTATAATAAAAATAAAAAAGGGAAAAATCAGAGCTTGCCATAGCTCTGCTCAAAACCTTTCAGTGGCGTCACAGATATCCAGAGTAAAACTGGTCTAAAGAGACCTGCATATTGATTTCTGAAATCCTTGCAGGAAAAAAACAAAAAAAAGCCCTGCATATTCTGGCCTCTATTGTCCTAGTTTACTTTTCCTCACCTGTCCTAACCACACAGATCTTCTCAAACATGCCAAGCACAGGACCTTCGTTCTTGTTGTTCATTTACTCTGAATTACTCTTCCTCTGGATGTTCCTATGTCCCACAACTTGCTCCTTCAGTTTATTCAGTTTTCGGAGCAGTGACTCCTAATTACTGGATCTGGTGGGCCCTTCTCTGTCCTTACACTTGACTGCTTTTTGGCATTTGACATTGTCAGTTTTCCTCTATAGTTCTATAGCTTTCATTTTGGTTCATTATAAAAGTACAGATTTGATATCCCTTATTCTAAATGCTTAAGACCAAAACACAAAAATTAGCCGGGCATGGTGGTGGGCACTAGTAGTCATAGCTACTCAAGAGGCTGAGGCAGGAGAATCACTTGAACCCGGGAGGTGTAGGTTGCGGTGAACTGAGATTGTGCCACTGCACTCAAGCCTAGGTGACAGAGCGAGACTCTGTCTCAAAAAAAACAAAAAAAAGGCCGGGCACGGTGGCTCACGCCTGTAATCCCAGCACTTTGGGAGGCCGAGGTGGGTGGATCACGAGGTCAAGAGATCGAGACCATCCTGGTCAACATGGTGAAACCCCATCTCTACTAAAAATACAAAAAATTAGCTGGGCATGGTGGCGCGTGCCTGTAGTCCCGGCTACTCGGGAGGCTGAGGCAGGAGAATTGCCTGAACCCAGGAGGCGGAGGTTGCGGTGAGCCAAGATCGCGCCATTGCACTCCAGCCTGGGTAACAAGAGTGAAACTCCGTCTCAAAAAAAAAAAAAAAAAAAGAAATATGGACCCTGAAGGCAATTCTGGTGAGGGCTCAGAAAGATAAGAGAGGAGCTATAGAGGAAGTTTCTATAGTTATATACACAGACAGAGAGAATACTAGTAGAAATATGAATGTTAAAGATGCTTCTGGTGAGCTCTCAGACAGCAATGAGAAGCATGTTTTTGGAAACTGGAGGAAAGGCAGTCCACGTTATGAAGTGGCCAAGGACTTGTGTTTTACTGTTTTTAAAAGTAGAACTTGTAAGTGATGAGTGTGGATATTTCACTCCGATTTTCAAGCAAAGTGTTGAGGTGTGGCCTGATTTCTCCTTGCTGCTTATAGTGAAGTTTTATGGTATAGAGAGAGATAAAGAAGGAATTGTTAAACAAAAAGGAAACCAGAACCTCAAGATTGGAAAATTCTGTCTATCCATATTGTAAAAAATGAAAAAGCATAATCTAGAGAGAACATCACGGGTATGGAGGGACTACGATTTGCTAAAGGGATTACCAGCATATGACTTACGGATCCAGTCAGCCATCTCGGCAGAAGCCAGGAATAGGGATGGGTTAAAGCAACAGAAACACTGCCAGCTTGGACTGAAGGGACAGAGATGGGGATAAAATTAAGGAAGGCTGCTGGACTTCCAAGATTCTATAAGACAGGGGAATAAAACTACTTAACTGTGAAGACAAGTTATCCTTCAAGAAAAGGGAAAAATGACCCTTAAGGAGGCTCAAAAGAATGCAGGGCTGCCACTGTCAACACAGACCCAGAGGGCACAGGTCCAGCAGGTGGGGCTGTCTCCTCCTAGGTACCACAGGGCAGGATCACCATCCTACTGCGCCCACAGGGCAGAGCATCAGGCCAAAGAAGATCATTCTAAAGCCTGAAAATCTAATGAAATTTGTCCTGCTTGGTTTTGGACTTGCTTGGGACCCATGACCCTTTCTTTTTTTCCAATTGTTCTCTTCTAGAATAGGAATGTCTAACCTATGCCTATGCCTGTCCCGCCATTGTACAATCGTGCATCACTAAACAATGGAGAAACATTCTGAGATGCGTATCATTAAGCATTTTCATTGTGTGAAAACAAAAATAAGTAAGAGTGTACCTACACAAACCTAGATGGTATAGCCTATGATACACCTAGACTTCACGGTATAGCCTATTGTGCCTACAAACCTATACGGTGTATGACTGTACTAAATACCATAGGAAACTGTAACACAATGGTATTATGTATTTAAACACAACTAAACACAAAAAAGGTACAGCACAAATATGATGTAATAATCATATGGGATCACCATCATACATGAGGTCCATCACTCACTGAAACATTGTTATGCAGCACATGCCTGTATTTTGGAAGCAAATAACTTGTCTGGTTTCACAGGTTAATAGACAAAGAACAATTTTGCCCTAGGATAAATCAAACCTTGAATCTCAGCCACTACCGATCAATTTAGATGATATATTTTTTTTTTTTTTTTGAGACGGAGTTTCGCTCTTGTTACCCAGGCTAGAGTGCAATGGCGCGATCTCGGCTCACCGCAACCTCCGCCTCCTGGGTTCAGGCAATTCTCCTGCCTCAGCCTCCTGAGTAGCTGGGATCACAGGCACGCACCAGACAGGGTCTTGCTCTGGTACGCAGCTGGAGTGCATTGATGCAATCATAGCTCACTGCAACCTTGAACTCCTGAGCTCAAGCGATCCTCCCACCTCAGCCTCTTGAGTAGTAAGGTTGATGCCACCATACCCAGCTAATTATTTCTATTTTTATTTTGTAGAGATGAGGTCTCACTATGTTGCCCAGGCTGGTTTTGAACTCTATGGCCTTAAGCCATTGGCCTCTAAAAATGCTGAGATTATAGGTGTGAGTCCTTGCATCTGGCCTGACTTAGATGATATTTAGATGAGAGTTTGGACTTAAGAGTTGATGCTAAAATAAGTTAAGACTTTTGGGGCTTGTGGAATAAAATGAATGTATCTGCACATGAGAACGACACGAATTTCGGGAGTCACAGGACAGAGTCCAATAGGTTGAACTATGTTTCCCTTAAATTCTTATGATGATGTCCTAACCCCCAGTACCTCAGAATGTGACTGCATTTGGAGATAGGGCCTTTAGAAATAATTAAGGTATTCTTGGCTGGGTGAGGTGGCTCACACCTGTAATCCTAGCACTTTGGGAGGCTGGGGTGGATGGATCACCTGAGGTCAGGAGTTCGAGACCAGACTGGCCAACATGGCAAAACCCCATCTCTATTAAAAATACAAAAATTAGCCAGGCATGGTTAGCGCACGCCTGTAATCCCAGCTACTCAGGAGGCTGAGGCAGGAGAATTGCTTGAACCCAGGAGGCAGAGGTTGCAGTGAGCAGAGATCGGGTTACGACACTACAGTCTGGGTGACAGAGCAAGACTCTGTCTGAAAAAAAAAAAGACTCAAGAAGCTAGCTGGGCATGCTGGCTCATGCCTATAATCCTAGCACTCAGAGAGGCCAAGGTGGAAGGATCACTTGAGGTCAGGTGGTCAAGACGAACCTGGACAAATACAGAAAGGTCCTGTCTCCACAAAAAATAAAAATAAAAATTATATTAAAAAAAAAAGAGTTGGGAAACTCAGGAGATCATACCTGTTGGTGATGGTTTTAATTTTCTTTCTTTCTTTTTTTGAGACAGTATCTTGCTCTGTCTCTGAGGTTAGAGTACAGTGGCATGACCACAGCTCACTACAGCCTTGAACTCCTGGCTCAAGTGATCCTCCCACCTCCGCCTTCCAAGTAGGTGGGACCACAGGTGCACACCTCCAAGCCTGGCAAATTTTTGTATATTTTTTGTAGAGATGGGATTTCACCATGTTGCCCAGGCTGGTCTCAAACTCCTGGGCTTAGGCCATCCTCCTACCTCATCCTCCCAAAGTGCTGAGATTATAGGCATGAGCCATTATACCTGGCTCAGTTTTAATCTTCTAATGAAGCAGGAAAGAAAGTGATATAATAACATCTCTATCTCTTGACCTGGCTATGAGGTACTGAAAGATAAGCAGTGACTATTTCCCGTAATACAAAAATCATCTTACTGCACATAACAGGTACTTGATAAATGTTTGCATAACCAAATTGAGTTCCAAGATTATGGATTGGTGAACTAATGCCAGCAGCTATTGATATCAATTGGAAATTTAAGCAGGATATAAACTTTTAAAATGGTAAAGGGGAAAGAAAAATCCAAGGATCTGAAAACTACATTTCTTTACCTGTACATTCTTTGTAAATCAGATGCTAAGACTCCAATGTCCACATATTTGCCACATTTGTTACTGGTAAGGTACTAAAACAGAAAATATAACAAATATAAAACACTCAATATTTCAAACTCAGTGGTTTTAATCAACAGATTGGGCTATTTGAACACATTATACTTTAATATAAACTCTTCATTAATAAAACATACCAGAAACATAAATAAAAGTAACCAAATAATTGTCAAGTCTGGAATCAGAAAATTTAATCAACATTATTAATCACTATAACACAATACTAATAATTACTAGAATAGTTATAAGGCAGTAAGTGAGGGCTTACTTACTAATATGCCAGGTTTCAAAACAAGCCCAGAACACTGCAATAAACTCACCAGGACACCAGGGGATATTTTAAACTTCAGGGAACACAGTGACATTTGACATCTGTCAGACATTGCAGGAACTACTAGCTTGAGGCAATTTCATTTCGATATTAAATCACCTTTTGGCTGGGTGTGGTGACTCATACCTGTAATCCCGACACTTTGGGAACCCAGGAGTTCAAGACCACCTTGGGCAACAAAGTTTGACCTTGTCTCTACAAAAAAATGTGGTGGCTTGTGCTTGTAATCCAGCATTTTGGGAGGCTAAGGTGGGAGATCGCTTGAGCCCAGAGTTAGAGGTTGCAGTGGGCTATGATAGAGCCACTGCGCTCCAGCCTGGGCAACAGAACAAGACCTTGTATCAAAAATAAATAAGTAAAATAGGCTGGGTGTGGTGGCTCACAACTGTAATCCCAGCAACTTTGAGGGGCAAAGGCAGGAGGATTGCTTGAGTCCAGGTGTTCGAGACGAGCCTGGGAAAGATGGTAAAATATCATTTCTACAAAAAATTTAAAAATTAGCCAGACATGGTGGTATATACCTGTGGTACCAGCTACATGGAGGGCTGAGGTGGGAGAATCTTTTGACCCCAGGAGTTTGAGGTGGTACTGAGCAGTGTCACAACACTGCACTCCAGCCTGGGTGACAGAGGGAAACCTGGTCTCAAAAATAAAAAATTAAATTAAATGTATAGCTAAGTGAAACCTATTTAAAATATTGTATAAGATTACCTTTAGGCTATGCGTATAAAGTGAATATGAAACATAAATAAATTTAATGTTTAACTTGGGTCCCATCCCCAGATATCTCATATATACATAAACATTCCAAAATCTGAAACATTTTTTGGTCTTAAGCATTTAGAATAAGGGATATTAAATCTGTACTTTTATAATGAACCAAAGTGAAAGCTATAGAAGAACAATGACAATGTCAAATGCCAAAAAGCAGTCAAGTGTAAGGACAGAGAAGGCGCCACCAGATCCAGTAATTAGTAGTCACTGCTCCAAAAACTGAATAAACTGAAGGAGTAAGTTGTGGGACGCAGGAACATCCAGAGGAAGAGTAATTCAGAGTGAATGAACAACGAGAACAAAGGTCCTGTGCTTGGCATGTTTGAGAAGGTCTGTGTGGTTAGGACAGGTGAGGAAAAGTAAACTAGGACAATAGAGGCCAGAATATGCAGGGCTTTTTTTTGTTTTTTTCCTGCAAGGATTTCAGAAATCAATATGCAGGTCTCTTTAGACCAGTTTTACTCTAGATGTCTGTGACGCCACTGAAAGGTTTTGAGCAGAGCTATGGCAAGCTCTGATTTTTCCCTTTTTTATTTTTATTATACTTTAAGTTATGGGATACATGTGTAGAACATGTTACATAGGTATACATGTGCCATGATGGTTTGCTGCACCCATCAACACGTCATCTACATTAGGTATTTCTCCTAATGCTGCCCCCCGCACTGCAGCCTGATTTTTCCCTTTAAAGGGATATCTTGGCTGTGCATGGTAGCTCACACTTGTAATCCCAGCACTTTGGGAGGCCAAGGGGAATGGATCACCTGAGGTCAGGAGTTCGAGACCAGCCTAGCCAACATGGTGGAACTCTGTCTTTACTAAAAATACAAAAATTAGCCAGGTGTGATGATGTGCACTTGTAATCCCACCTACTTGGGAGGCTGAGGCAAGAGAATCACTTGAACCCAGGAGGCAGAGGTTGCAGTGAGAAAAAAAAAAAGGTGTTTCTGGCTGCTTTGTGGGAAATAGGCTTTAGGTAAAAGCAGAATCAGAGAGATCAGTTAGGAGGCTATTGCAATAGTCTAAGGTAGAGACGATAGTTTGGATTAAGATGGTTAGAGGGGCCGGGCGCGGTGGCTCAAGCCTGTAATCCCAGCACTTTGGGAGGCTGAGGCGGGTGGATCACGAGGTCAAGAGATCGAGACCATCCTGGTCAACACGGTGAAACCCCGTCTCTACTAAAAATACAAAAAAATTAGCTGGGCATGGTGGTGCGTGCCTGTAATCCCAGCTACTGAGGAGGCTGGGGCAGGAGAATTGCCTGAACCCGGGAGGCGGAGGTTGCGGTGAGCCGAGATCATGCCATTGCACTCCAGCCTGGGTAACAAGAGTGAAACTCCGTCTCAAAAAAAAAAAAAAAAAGATGGTTAGAGGGAAAGACAGTAAGAAGTACTTGGAATATATTTGAAAGTAAAGCCAATCAGGCTGTTGATGGATGATATATAGGAAATGAAAGAAAGACTCATAATGATCCTTAAGGTTTTGGCCTTACCAACTGGATGAATGGTAGTATCATTTAACAAGATACAGAACACTAAGAAAATCACAAGTTCCACTTGGCTATTTTAATTTGGAGATATGCATGCTGCCTAGGCAGCTGGATATGTCAATCTGTAATTCAAGATAAAATCTGGACTGGAGATATAAATTTAAGGGTCGTAAATATATAGAGGCCAGTGCAGTGGCTTGCACCTGTAATCCCAGCGCTTTGGGAGGCTGAGGCCTGATGTTCAAGACCAGCCCGAGTAATGTACTGGAAACCCGTCTCTACAAATAATAATAATATATTAGCCAGGTATGGTGGTGCACACCTGTAGTCCCAGCTACTGGGGAGGCTGAGGAGGAAGGATCACTTCATTCCGGGAGGTCGAGGGTGCAGTGAGCTATGATTGTGCCCATAAACAGCCACTGCACTCTAGCCTAGGCAACAGAATGAGATTGTGTCTCAGAAAAAAAAAAAATAAAATGAAATAAATATATAGACAATATGTAGATACTATTCAAAGGTTATTAGACTGAGATCACATAGGAAGTATGGATAGACAAGAGCGGTGTATGAGGAAAGAGGAGGAAGAGGAGGTATCTCAGGGCACTTCCAACATTTACAAGTTGGTAGAAAAAGATGGGTTCGAAAAGGAGATTGTTTGGGAGCTGGTGAATTGAAAAAAAAAAAAAACAAGTAGGATGTGTAGCTCACAAATTACAAAGTGAACAAAAATCTCTCCCATCTTTTAGCTCAGACTCCTTAGTTACATTCTAAGGTATTTGCCACACACTGCTTTTTACTGATGGTCATTAAAATGAGAAAACCGTAGGCAAGGTGCCTGCTACAGTTGCCAGACCCATGTTATCACGTTTTAGTGTTTAAGTTCCTTGAGAACGGAAATTTTACGTATTATTTATGGCACCCCTTCTCAAGGACCTCTTACAATGAGGGCATTGGAAGACCATTCCTGTACTAACTTCACAAGCCAAAGAGTTTAAAATTCAAAGGCTAACTCCACTCTCCTGAACAATCAGCGCTGAAGACGACAAGACAACCTGGGCAGCCCCACCAAGCTGCACCCTCCCACCGTCCCTGGCTGCTCCTTGAGACTCCGCACCAACGTGGGTAGGGAAGGCCCCGGCACCACCAACGAAAGAGGAACAGACGCACGCCCAGGCCCAGACAGGGGCAAGGAGACTAGTTGAGTTCCACGCGGACGCCGCCCGATAAAAGGGCAGTGGCACCCTGGGGCAGCAATCGGGGCCCATGGCGAGGCCGAGCGGTGCAGAATACATACCTGGATGACTCGCTGCTTGAGTTTATTATCCACGAACCCTGCAGGTCTGGGCTTCATCGCGTCGCTCTCCAGAGCCACTGCTCCGACCGCCAACTCCCTGCGAACCGCGGGCCTCGCAAGGGTTGCCCACCGCGAATGCCGGGCCAGTAGGACTTGAAATGCGCCCCTCCTGGGTCCTAGCCCGCGCCGTTTCCATCAGAATAAAAGTAATGCGAATGAGAGGGGAAAATTCCGAGGAGCGGGAAAAGACTTGAACACCTGAGGGAGTTTCTAGTGGCCTTATTTTTCAGGCATGCCCAGTGGGCCTTGGACGATTAGGCCCCCTCTGAACGCTCTCAACCTTATTGGTTCCCCGCCGGGCGAACCAGGCTGGAGGACGTTCCTACCCCGGCGCGGCGGGCGGGGAAACTATCAACAACGTCCGCTGGTAAACTTGGTTTGCTTTCCTCAGGCTTTCCAGCCACACTTCATTCTAATACAAAGCTAGTCTTGGCAAAAGCAGCGACAGTAGATAGTCGGAGTGATAAAATCAGGATAAAAACACACCACCAGCCTCTGCTTGCTTTCCCACGTAGTTACCTTACATTTTTGAGGCCCCACGAAAGAGCTAGGTGAATAAGAAAAGGAGGGACGGATTTACCCAGATAACTAAGTCATCTGTTACTTTTAGAACTCGTTTGACCTGCGCTGTTATGAGCAAGTAATTTGTTGAATATATCCAGTGCAAGACTCCTTGGCCCAGAATTTTATTAAACGTTTCTGTTTGCTCCAGGTAAGTTTATCCTGCAGTTAGGGAGACACAAAGGGATAGTTACCAAGCATTTTTTTTTAAGTTGCAAGCTCTAGTTTCTGTTTTATTTCAGTCGTGTTTTGAGTATTCTTATTTCAGGTCCTATTTGGCTTGTGACAAGGTTAAGTGCAGTGTATTCAGGGGCAGAGGGAGGAGAGAAAATGGAATTAAGGGTGTGAAGCTGGGTGAGGTAGCTCATACTTGTAATCCCAGCACTTTGGGATGCCGAGGTGGGCGGATCTCTTGAGGTCAGGAGTTCGTGACCAGCCTGGCAAACATGGTGAAACATTGTCTCTACTAAAAATACAAAAATAAGCACTGAATTAAGTATTAGATTTCCCACTCAAACTCTTGGTCCCTTTGGCTGCAACTTCATTTCCTACTTCTTCGCTATACTCTTTTATTTTTATTTTATTTATTTTTTTGAGACAGAGTCTAACACTGTCACCCTGGCTGGAGTGCAGCAGTGTGATCTTGGCTTATTGCAACCTCTGCCTCCCGGCTTCAAGCTATTCTCCTGCCTCACACTCCCGAGTAAGTGGGACTACAGGTGTCTACCACCACACTCTGCTAATTTTTTATAATTTTAGTTGAAACAGATTTCATCATATTGGCCAGGCTGGTCTCGAACTCATGACCTCGTGATCTTCCTGCCTCAGCCTCCCAAAGTGCTGGGATTACAGGTGTGAGCCAGCTCGCCAGGCTATTTTAATTTTTTTTAGTTGTGGTAAAATATAAGAAAGTTTACCATTTTAAACATTTTAAAGTGTACAGTTTAGTGTTATTAAATACATTCATGATATGCAACCATCACTGCCATCTAGTTCCAGAACTATTTCCATCTTGTAAAACTGAAACTCTATACCAATTAAAAGATAACTCCCCAATCCTCTGTCCCTGCAGCCCCTGGCAGCTAGCATTCTACTATCTGTCTTTATGATTTTGACAACACTAACTTCCTCACATAATTGAAATCTTCCAGTATTTGATTTTCGTGACTAGCTTGTTTCTTAGCATAATATCCTCATGTAGCATGTGTTAGCATTTCCTTTTTTTTTTTTCATTTTTTTTGAGATGTAGTCTCACTCTGTCTGCCAGGCTGGAGTGCAGTAGCGCAATCTCAGCTCACTGCAAACTTTGCCTCCTGGGTTCTAGTGATTCTACCACCTCAGTCTCCCCAAGTAGCTGGGAATACAGTTGCATGCCACCACACCCGACTAATTTTTTGTAATTTTAGTAGAGATGGCATTTTGCCATATTGGCCAGGCTGATCTCGAACTCCTGACCTCAGGTGATCTGCCTGCTTCGGACTCTGAAGTGCTGGGATTACATACAGGTATGAGCCACCGCACCCAGCCTTTCCTTTGTTTTTGTTGTTGTTTGTTTGTTTTTTTGAGACAGAGTTTTGCTCTTGTTGCCCAGGCTGGAATGCAATGGTATGATCTTGGCTCACCTCAACCTCTGCCTCCCAGGTTCAAGCCATTCTTCTGCCTCAGCCTCCCAAGTAGCTGGGATTACAGGCATGTGCCACCACACCTGGCTAATTTTGTAGTTTTAGTAGAAATGGGGTTTCTTCATGTTTGTCAGGCTGGTGTTGAACTCCTGACCTCAGGTGATCCACCTGCCTTGGCCTCCCAAAGTGTTGGGATTACAGGCATGAGCCACAGTGCCTGGCCTCTTTCGTTTTTTAAGGCTAAATAAAATTTGGCCCTTTTGCCATTCTGCCTTTTGCCATGGGAGGACACTGCAAGAAGGCCCTCATCAAATGATGGCTCCTTGATTTTGAACTTTCCAGCCCTCTTGCATTCATTCGACAAGTATTTATTGAGTGCCTACCAGTTTCAGTCTCTGCTCTGCCCTTTAGGCTTGTGGGGAAAAGCAGAAGAATTATAATTGTAACTTTTTATTTTTATTTTTATTTTATTTTATTTTTTTAAGACGGGGTTTCACCATGTTGGTCAGGCTGGTCTTGAACTCCCGACCTCGGGTGATCCGCCTGCCTTGGCCTCCAAAGTGCTTGGATTACAGGCGTGAGCCACCGCGCCTGGCCAGTTGTAACTTTTTATAACATTTAAAAAATTAAATTAAGTATGTACTTGATTACATTAAATGTTTGTAAAGATTCCCTACAGCATATAGTACAAGTATAGTCAATGCTTAGTAATTTTAAAAATGAAATGTAATTCCGTACATGCCAAATGTACCACATAGAGTACAAAAACACACTGAAACCAGGTGCGGTAGCTCATACCTATAATCCCAGCACTTTGGGAGGCAGAAGCAGGTGGATCACCTGAGGTTAGGAGTTCACGACCAGCCTGAACAACATGGTGAAACCCTGTCTCTACTAAAAATACAAAATTATCTGGGTGTGGTGGTGCATGCCTGTAATCCCAGCTACCTGGGAGGCTGAGGCAGGAGAATCACTTGAACCTGGGAGGCAGAGGTTGCAGTGAGCTGAGATTGTACCATTGCACTCCAGCCTGGGCAAAAGAACAAAACTCCATCTAAAAAAAAACACAAAAAAACACATTGAAAGGCCTAGTAGCATCACAACATGTACTAGGTAACATAGTTTATTAGTCTATAATTTGTCATGGAATACTAACCTACACTTAGGGTTAACTTCATGGGTGTGTGGCCTGTGCAGTCACACAGGGCCCTGTGCTCAGAAGGGCCCCACACGTGGTTTAATGCTCTACTGTTGCCATCTTGAAATACTTTCTGAACAAGCCATCCCTTATTTTCATTTTATACTAGGTTTTACAAATTATTTAACCAGCCCTTCATATGTAAACTTGAAGTACTCTAGAATGCCTTGTTCTTAAAGGCAGGTAACGTGTTGTTCACCTCATTACTGATTTAGATACAGAAGGCAATAACTGAAAGTAAATTAATTCTAGATGATAATATGCTTGAACATTTTCCATTGGAATTATTTCAGCAATTATTGCCCAGAAGACCATTTTACATTGATTCCGGTGTTTGGATTTATAGTATCATGCATCAGAACTGAAAAGATTACTGAACAGTAACCTAAGTGCTTATACACTTCAAGTACTTCCTTTTTTAATTGAAACGTCCTCCTTTCTTTAGTGGTGTAACCCCACCTAGTGGTGGTGGCATATTTTATCTTTTGCCTTTTTTTTTTTTTTTTTTTTTTTAAGACAGGGTTTCACTATGTTGGTCAGGCTGATCTTGAACTCCCGACCTCAGGTGATCCGCCCACCTTGGCCTCCAAAGTGCTTGAATTACAGGCGTGAGCCACCACGCCCGGCCTTATCTTTTGTCTTTTATACTTTGACTCTCCTAAGCCTTGTACAGTATTTCATTAGCTAACAGCTTCTTGTCTAATTGTGCTTTATAACTAGTGTGATTATGTCTAGATTTGCTCAGGACAGTCCTGATTTTTGCCTGTTGGTTCAGCATAATTATTACCAGTATCCCTTTGTGGAAATACATGAAGACCAAATACATGAGAAGAGGAGAAGACTCTGTTCAGTTTGCTATAACAAGGGAGTCAGCCACCATCACCTGCGTTTTGGCAGAGCCTCAAAGACAGGCAGAGGGTGGGAAAACTGTAGAGTGGGGAAAGGGGGAAGGCTTCAAGTATGCCCTAACTGAAGACTGTTGGCATAGGGAAGCTGTAGGTAGGCTAACTAGAGCTAGCAGAGCGATGCATAGCTGGTTTTCTCTTTGTTCCTACGTTAAGACCAGGTACAAAACTTAGAAAAGCTATCATTTATTAATAAAGTTCTTGCCGTCTGGTGCCATTTGTTACAGGGGTTGTTGCTGGGTTCCTGGATTGTTTGCCAGTGATAGTGGTCTGACTTCCTACATGTCTGACTTACAGATGATAAGATTGGTTTTCTGGTCTGATTGCTGCAGATTGTGTCAGAGTTCTATTTTTGCATATGGTCTGCCCATTTTTCCTTCACATGTTCAGCGTCTTGCTTTTATCTCTCAAAAAGGTTCAGTTTGGACAATGTATGACCACTCTTTGTATAGTAGGAACATGGAGAAAAAGATGAAGTCTGCATGTCAGAGGACCCTTACTGAGAGGCAAAAACGAGGCTGTCTGCTTGCCGGGACCTGGAGGCTGAATTCTTTCCCTCCCTCCCTCCCTCCCTCCCTCCCTCCCTCCCTCCCTCCCTCCCTTCCTTCCTTCCTTCCTTCGCTCTCTCTCTTTCTTTCTTTTTCTTTTTTCTTCTTTTTCTTTCTTCCTTTCCTCCCTTTTTCCCTTTTCCCCTTTTTCCCTTTTTCCCTTCCCTTCCCTTCTTTTCTTCTTCTTCTTTTCTTTTCTCTTTTTTACAGGGTGATATGTTTGGCTGTGTTCTCACCCAAATCTCATCTTGAATTGTAGCTTCTGTAATTCCCACAACTTGTGGGAGGGACCCAGTGGGAGATAATTCAATCATGGGGGCAGTTTCTACCATGCGGTTCTCGTGGTAGTGAATAAGTCTCATGAGATCTGATGATTTTATAAGGGGTTTTCCCTTTCACTTGGCTCTAATTCTCTGTCATCTGCCACCATGTAAGATGTCCCTTTAGTCTTCCACCATGATTGTGAGGCCTCCCCAGCCACGTGGAACTATGAGTCTATTAAGGCTCTTTTTCTTTATAAATTACCCAGCCTCACATATGTCTTTATCAGCAGCATGAAAATGGACTAATACACAGCGTCCCACTCAGTCTCCAAGGCTAGAGAGCAGTGGCGCGATCTCAGCTCACTGCAACTTCTGCCCTCTTGGCTTAAACAATTCTCCCACCTCAGCCTCCCAAGTAGCTGGGACTACAGGCGTGCCACCATACCTAGCTAACTTTTGTATTTTTTGGTAGAGACGGGGTTTCACCATGTTGGCCAGGCTGGTTTCCAACTCCTGACCTCAAGTCATCTGCCCACCTTGGCCTCCCAAAGTGCTGGGATTACAAGGTACCCTGAATTTTTTGAGATTAAAAACAATCTTTGATTTATTTTATTTGATAATGGCTAACAATTCCGTTTTCTAATCAAATTTGTCATTCTTTGAGGTGATTGCCTCATTTATGTCCCTAATCCTGAAAAAAATGAAAATAATATTTTGAGCTTGGCATTTTATACATTCACTCTACAGATATTTATTGTCTCCTATGTACCAGTTACTATGCTGAAATCAAAAGAAACAGTGAGAACCAAAACAGATATGGCCTTAGAATTTATATTCTAGAGTGTCCCTTTAGAGAGGGTCAGGAAATTAACTGGTATATCAATAAATATTTAATTAAAACAGTGAAAAGTAAGGAGGATTTCTTAGCCTATGGTATAGAATCTTTTTATTTATTCAGAGATGGAGTTTTGCTCTTATGGCCCAAGCTGTAGTGCAATGGCGAAATCTCGGCTCACTGCAACCTCCGCCTCCCGGGTTCAAGCAATTCTCCTGCCTCAGCCTCCTGGGTAGCTGGGATTACAGGCATGCGCCACCATGTCTGGTTAATTTTTTAAATTTTTAGTAGAAATGGAGTTTCACCATGTTAGCCGGGCTAGTCTTGAACTCCTGACCTCAGGTGATCTGCCGTTCTTGGCCTCCCAAAGTGCTGGAATTACAGGCATGAGCCACCGTGCCCAGCCCAATTTTTTTTTTTGAGACAGAGTCTAGCTCTGTCACCCAAGCTGGAGTACAGTGGCACAATCTCTGCTCACTGCAACCTCCGCCTCCTGGGTTCAAGCAATTCTCCCCCAACCTACCAAGTAGCTGGGATTACAGGGATGCCACCATGCCTGGCTAATTTTTGTATTTTTAATAGAGATGGGGTTTCACTGTGTTGGCCAGGCTGCTCTCAAACTCCTGATCTTGTGATCTGCCCGCCTCGACCTCCCAATAGTGTTTGAGGCCCGTCCTCAATAGGGGTTTTTTAAAAAATATCAATGATACCAGGTTCTTATTCAGGAATGTTTCACTATGTTGGCCAGGCTGATCTCATAACTCCCGACCTCAAGTGATCCGCCAACCTCCACCTCCCCCTACCAAATTGCTGGGATTAAAGGTGTGAGCCACTGCTCCTGGCCTGAATCTTTTATATGTAAAGTTTTTAGTAAGTATTTGTTAAGTAAATGAATGAAATTTGTGAAGAGTACTGTGATAGAAAATAACAAATCCTTTTGTAGTTCCTAAGTGTGAAGAATGGGTGCTCATGTACATGTGTGAGATGTGGTACCTTCAAACCTTGTTCTGTGCACATTACCTGTCTCACATGGAAAAAAAGAGAAGAAAATGAAAAAGGGAGACTACCTCAGTCCCTCGCCAAGGGAGATCTTTTTGAGAATGTGACAGGTAAGGACTTTAAGGATAGCAGGAGCCAATTGTACAGGAAGAGTGGGAAGAGTTTCAGGTAGAGGGAGAATCATGTGTGCAAAGACCTTAAAGCAGAAAAGAAGTTGACTTGTTCTAGGAACAGAAACAGAGAAAACTAAACTTCTTTGTTGTTCATTAGTCCAGAAAGAAACCCTATAACTGTTAAGCAATCACTTCAGTTTTCTCCTCTTCCCAGCTGCTGGAAACCACAAATCTACTTATTGTCTTTGTGGATTTGCCTATTATGAACATTTCACATAAATGGAATTATATAATATGTGACCTTTTGTCTCTGACTTCTTTCACTTAGCATAACGTTTCCCAGGTTTCTCCATATTGTAGCATATATTAGTACTTCATTCCTTTTTGCTAAGTAATATTCTATAGTATAGATATGTCCCATTTTAGTTATCAATTTATCACCTGATAGACATTTGGATTATTTACACTTTAAGTTTTTCTATGAACACCTATTTTCAGTTCTGTGGAGTATACAGTACACCCAGGAGTGGAAATGTAGAGCAAGGGCTCACTTGCCCGATGGGCATAGAAGCCAATACTGGGACAGGAGAATAGGGTGTGGAGACAGGGAGCCTTCATTTTAGTCTCTGATTAGTTGCAGGCCAAGTCTTTTTTTTTTTTTTTTTTTTATGACGGGGTTTCACCATGTTGATCAGGCTGGTCTTGAACTCCCGACCTCAGGTGATCCGCCCACCTTGGCCTCCAAAGTGCTTGGATTACAGACGTGAGCCACCACTCCTGGCCTAGGCCAAGTCTTTATTTGCATAGAGTGTAACTTACTTCAGCTTCCAATTGGTTGGGGGCCAAGTGGGTGTAACCAATAGGAAACTTCTAAAGGGTACTTAAGCCCCAGAAGATTTTGCAACTGGGGCTCCTGAACTGCTTGCTTGAGCCCGTTCCTCTCTTTGGCGTGTACTTTTGCTTCAGTAAATCAGTGCTTCATTGCTTCATTCTTTTGTTGCTTTGTTTGTGCATTTCATTCAATTTCTTGTTCAACCCGCCAAGAACCTGGACAAGTTGTAGTCAAGACCCTCCACCAGTAACAATACCATAGCACTTGCTTTTGAGAAAATAAAGACCTTTATTGCAAAGTTGGCTTGCCATGCTCAAATATGTCTCCCTAAGCTGGACAGCTTTTATAGGCAGAGACTTAACAATGAGGAAGATAGGATAATGCAATGAGGTAGGCCAGGCACAGTAGCTCATGCCTGTAATCTCAGCACTTTGAGAAGCCCAGGTGGGTGGATCACCTGAGGTCAAGAGGTTGAGACCAACCTAACCAATATGGTGAAACCTCATCACTACAAAAATTAGCTGGGCATGGTGGTACGCACCTGTAATCCCAGATGCTTGGGTGGCTGAGGCAGGAGAATCACTTGAACCTGGGAGGTGGAGGTTGCAATGAGCTAACATCATGCCACTACACTCCAGCCTGGTCCACAAAGTGAGACTCCATCAAAAAAAAAAAAAAAAAAAAAAAGAACAATTCAATGAGGTATGATCTGATTGGGTCATGCTTAGGGTTGTTGGCTCTTAAGTCTGTACTACAACAAATCAGGGCACTCCTTGCTTCTGAATTTGGTCCCTGTTCCTTGGTCCAAGCACTTTGGTTCTGTTTGTGACCAACTTTTTCATTCTGCTTGGCTCCTAAGTCACCAGTGGGGCACACTTGGCTCATCTGGGCATGCTTAGGTTATGTAACTTGCAACCTGGAGGTTGGCTGCTCTGAGAAACCACTCATCTTTGTTACACAAAGGTTGAACCAGATTGGGTTGATTCTGCTGTTACAGAATTGCTGGGTCATATAATTCAATGTTTAACTTTTGAAGAATCACCAAACTGTTCCCTCCAGCTGCTGCAACATTTTACATTTGCACCAACAATGCACTGAAGGTTCAGATTTCTCCATATCCTCCCCAACAGTTAATTTCTCTTTTGTTTTTTAATTACAGCCATTCTAGTGGGTGTGAAGTAATATCATTATTTTTTATTTTTGAGACAGGGTCTCACTGTGTCACCCAGGCTGGCATGCAGTGGCCCGATCATGGCTTACTGCAGCCTCGACCTCCTGGGTTGAAGTGATCCTGCTACCTCAGCCTGCCAAGTAGCTGGAACTAACAGATGCGTGCCACCCACACACAGCTGATTTTTTGTAGTCACGGGATTTTGCTGTGTTGCTCAGCCCTGCCTTGGCCTTCCAAAGTTCTGGGAATATAGATGTGAGCCACCTCACACAGCTATAATCAAATTACTGTCATTTTTATTTACATTTTCGTAAAGTTAATTTCTTAATGATTGCCCTGGAAAGTAAAACTAATTTTTTTTGTTTCTTTTGAGACAGAGTCTTACTCTGTTGCCAGGCTGCAGTGCAGTGGCATGATCCCAGCTCACTGCAATCTCCGACTCCTGGGCTCAAGCAATTCTCCTGCCTCAGCCTCCTGAATAGCTGGTACTATGCGCGTGCCACCATGCCCAGCTAATTTTTTTTTTTTTGGAAGGGGGTGGGGGCAGGGAGGGGCTAATTTTTGTATTTTTAGTAGAGACAGGGTTTCACCATGTTGGCCAGGATGATCTAGAAGACCTTGTGATCCACCTGCCTCGGCCTCCCAAAGTGCTGGGATTACGGGCATGAGCCACTACATCCAGCCTATTTATTTATTTATTTGAGATGGAATCTTGCTCTTGTCACCCAGGCTGGAGTGCAATGGTGTGATCTCAGCTCACTGCAACTTCCGCCTCCCAGGCTCAAGCAATTCTTCCTCAGCCTCCCAAGTAGCTGGTATTACAGGCATCCAACACTATACCCAGCTAATTTTTGTATTTTCAGTAGAGATCAGGTTTAACCATGTTGACCAGGCTGGTCACAAACTCCTGACCTCAGGTGATCCACCTGCCTTGGCCTCCCAAAGTTCTGGGATTACAGGAGTGAGCCACCAGGCCCAGCCTATACTGACTTTAATATTTACCTAAGGTAGGTACCTTTACTAGAATTCTTTATTTCTTTATATGGTTTTGTTACAAGATCTTTGGGGTGTCACTTTTCTGGCTGGTAACCTCTGTAGCTGGTGGCACCTTTGCCTGAGTTTTGCTGGGGCCAGCTTGGCTCGTTCCACCCACTTGGCCTGGCAGGCTGTGTTTGGCTCATGCTACCAGCCTGGATCCCATGCCTGCCAAGGATGAGTCAGGCGTGGAGCAGTGAGGCATGTGTGAGTGAGTGAGGCGTGAAGCTGACTCCAGGGTCTGGCCACTGCACAGTCAGACACACTGGCTGCTGCAGAGGGGCAGGCGGCTCCAGGTGCTGGCATGGGCTCCAGCTCTCTGTGAGGCTGCAGCTGGACAAAGTGCATGGCAAGGAGCTTCCACAGCTGGTGGAAGCTGGGGAACATTGGTGCCTGGAAGCTTGGAGATGCCAGGAACCACAAGGTCCCAAAGAGGAAGTCACAGCCCTGTCTTGGGGAGCTCCAGGTCAGGGCTCCCCAAAGGGCCACAGCTCTTCTCTCCTCTTCACCCACAACATGGTGAGCAAGGGGCATGTTTCAGCCCTGCTTGTATTACAGCTCTTTTAGCCTTGCCATTTGGCAAATCCCAAGTTCTTGTCCTGCGACGAGGAAGAATGAGGTAGTCAGACAAGTGGAGGGTAAGAAAGCTTTATTGAGCCATAGAATAGCTCAGAGGAGACTCACAGGGGACAGCTCCTTTCCACAGCCAGGGTGTCTGTTCCAGTGTTCAGCTCACAGTAGAAAGGGTAGCTCCTCCTCTCTGCAATAGGTTGTCCCAAAATGTGTTCATCTCCAAGCAGAGAGGGTAGCTCCTCTCTACATACAAATGTTCTGCCCTCAGCAGAGAAGGTAGCTCCTCTCTATAGCTGGTCATCCCATGGTCTGTTCAACTCTGGCTGATCCCAGAGCTTTTATGGGCCTCAGAGGGGAGGCAGCCATGGGCAGGCCCCAGAAAGGCACCACAAGTTCCCACTCCAGTCCACAGGATTGGCAGCCCAGTCCCCAGACTTCAGAACTGGCCTGATGGTGAGGCCTCACCAGGGACCTGCCCTCTTCTGCCCAAGGAGCCTACTGCCTCCTGCTGCCCTCCATGATGCCCAGGCTGCTTGCATCAAGGGGCACCTGCAGGCCAGTGCTGAGCTGCCTCCCCCTGGGCTTCTCCCTGATGCTCGTGGGTACCTACGTTCTAGAGGGGGCAGAAGTGACAGGGGGCTGGCATGTCAGGGCTGCCCAAGCATGTGCACAGCCAGTCAGGCTGTGACAGCACCCGAGCCCAGCCCCAACCCCACTCTGAGATAGGAGCGGGTGCTGGGAGCAGGGAGAGGCCAGGCAGTGGGAGCAGACACCCACAAACCTGTGGAGAAAAAGGGGCCTTCCTGGGTTCTCCACGGTGCAGACTGCGGAGACTCCTAGGTCCTGTACCTGGAAGGACAAGGACTGGCAGTCCTGGCTGTACCTCCTCACAGCCTGGGGCGGGGGCTCCAGGTCCTTGCTGGGTCCCTCTTTGCCCACCTCTGTACCTGACCGGCTGCTCCCCCACTGTTGGGCAGCTCTGCCTGGCCGCATCACAGAGACTCCCAGGGTGGTGGGCTTCAGTGGGGGGGGGGGGTGTTCCCGCTTGTCCCTGGCTCCTGCTGTCACCATGGAGCATGGCACCACCTTAGACCCAGCTCTACCTCCACCCCGTGCCCTCCCCATGAGGCTCAGGGCCTGGGAGCAGGTTCTGCCCGGCTGTGCAAGGGTGCAGGTGTTGAAGTCAGCTGCCTTTGGGACGCAGGGCACAGGGAACCCACTGCCACCACTGCTGCTCCTACACCTCCCTGCTGCAGCCAGCGCAGTGGCAGTGGCCACTCCACTGACAGGTACAATCCCATAGGTGC